GCGGGGTCGGGACGTCGCTGCGGCCCAGCGCTGGACATCTTGCGCTGCGACCGAGCGGGGTCGGGACGTCGCTGCGGCCCAGCGCTGGACATCGTGCGCTGCGGCCGAGCGTGGGGAGCATAGGTGGCCTGTAGTCGGACCGCAAGGTCCATTACTCGCTCCCAGTGCGAATCGCCGCCAGACGACCACGAAATGTTCTCCTCCTCTGGGGACCATGTGGGGGGCAGCGGATGGTGACCCAGATGCCTACTGAGGGCTCCAGATGGGGAGACGGAGTAGTACAAGTACCCAGCTGGAACCTCGGGAGGACCGTTCCCTCACTACGGGCAGCCCGCTGGAGACTCCGTGGACCGCCCATTGCCAGACGGGTTCCCCTGAACTCGTCCAAGGGAAAAAACTCCGCTGAGTCCTTTCTTGGTCGCGTCATTCTGTCAGGGTTGCGGGTGGGAGGCAGGACTCAAACGCAGAGTTCAAAAGGAACACAAAGGACTTTAATAGTCAATGGTCAAAACACAGGACCGGGAGCAAAAGCACACAGACGAGAAACTATGGGCATCCAAGACAAAGACAGGACATGCGTGGCAAAGAAATGACGCGACAAGTGACACAGAGACACATGGTTTAAATACACAGGGAGGTGCAGGTGATTGGACACAGGTGGAAACTATAGACGATCACAGGGACACGGACAGGCAGGAGTGAGTACCGGGGACACGAGTGGCAGAAAACTACAAAATACAACAGGAAGTGAAACCACACCGTGACACGATGCGGCCAACGACACGCAGCTTAGAATTAGAATATTCAGAGAGAGGGCGTCTCTCAGCAGCGGCTTTTTTGCGTTGAACAATCACAGTGATCAGGAATCAGAGGAATTAGACAAAAGCAAGGGGCATTTATTTGTGTAGCACATTCCAACAGTGACGCAGTTTAAACATTGAAACCATCAAAACATCAGGCAAAATAAAAAGAAATCTTATTAGGTAAAGGTGATTAAAACAATAAACTAGAATAAAAGTTGGCCTCCTTGATTGTGGTTTCATTTAAGGCAGCAGCAGCAACACAAACGTCTTGAATTTGGAGCAGCAGCTTTCTGGGGGGTTGTTCCAGATGTGTGGAGCAGAAGAACTGAAGCTCTCTTGGTCTTGGTGAGGAATCGAGCTGCAGCGTTCTGGTTGACTGACGTTTTACAGAGACCTGTGAACACACCGTCACAATAGTCCAGTCTACTCAGGATGAATGCAAGTTCCTCCAAATCCTGTTGAGACACGAGTCCTCACGTCCTTGATAGAATTTGAAGATGATAATTTGCACATTTTGTATTCTGAATCCATAATATACAACATGATTAAATGAAATTGTGTCATGATACTTGAAGGGGTGTTATTTATGGGGACAGCACATACCCTGTGCTTGTGCCTCAAATTCCGTTTGCAAAGGCCTCCTTCACGGATGTGGCAGTGAACCTGGCGATTTGAAACGACTCGTACATGTAACAACCGCCCAGAGCAACAGGTTGATGCTGCTTCTGTTGAGTTCGGGGAGGTGTGGGAAATGATTAGTTAGTTATTCTCCTTGCAAGCAGTTAGTTAACTGTTCTGCCCTTTTTTGAGCGCTGTTCATTGTGCAAATCGGCCCAACGGCCGGCCGGAGGGGAAAACGTTTAATGTGTCGCCAAAACGACACCGTTTATTAGAGCTAGAAACAATGATTTTTGGAATATTTTTCCTGCGATCCTTGATCATGTGTGAGAAACAACTAAAACGCGTTATTTCATCAACAACATTTCACTCTACACGTCCCGTATGAAATGTTTTATCCTAAAAAAAAAGCTGTCACTTCCTCCATCTCCTTTTGATACAGTTGTGGTTGTTGTGTCTGTAGCCTGAACACGTCTTCTTCCTCCAGATCGAAGAGGAGAACGCGGCGCTGCTCGCCGCTCTGACCGACAGCTTGGATGGCATGGTGGACGCCGAGGTGGGCGGGCTCTCCGTCTTCCCCACCCTGGGGGAGGAGCCCGACCAGGAAGAGGAAGAGGAGGACCGTCGTCCCCGCGGCGCCGAGGACTTCGGCCAGTCCATGGGGTCCGAGACGGACGACCCATCTCTGGTATGAACGCCTCCTCTTTCCGAAGGCCATGGTTGTTTGGATCACAGACCCCCCCCCGTTTCTCCCCCCCCCCGTTTCTCCCCCCCGAATCTCCCCTCAAGTATCTTAATCTGTGTCGATAACCTTGATGTTTCCCCTCGCCGGGTCCGCGAGGTTCAAAGTCCCCCCTCAACTCCAGGAAAACACGAAGTTTGACCTTTCATCCAATCCTGTTTGTGTGCAGAGTGCGTCTGTGTGTGTGTGTGTGTGTGTGTGTGTGTGTGTGTGTGTGTGTGTGTGTGTGTGTGTGTGTGTGTGTGTGGCGTTCTGTATTTCCAAGTTGCACGCGTCCTTCCCGAGAATAGAAGGAGAGACGAATGGCGCCGGACTGAGGACGCGTTACAGATTCTTACTCAAACGCCTGCTGAGGAGTTTAGTTAAGTTTGGTTGAGCGACGACTTGAAGGCTTCTTTCAGGAGTATTTAACGGTCGGGTCGGTATAAATGGAGCTGATGTGATGACGTCTGACGTTCTCAGCTTCAGGGCGGGCTGTAACTGGATCGCGTTTAGGATCAGGATCAGGAACAAACGTAAGGGAAACGACCAACTTTGTTTCCCCGCCCTCCCCCCCCACACACAGTAAACCTCCGTCTCCATCACGCGGGAACCACAAACCGCCGTATCCCTCCACAGTGAGCGCCGTGCCCTACTTTCACTCCGCCGCCTCCGCGGCTTGATTGAAGCAGGAAGCTTTTTTCTCTGCGATAAATGACTCGTGATTGCTGCTGTTACGCGGCCTTATCGCACTTAATTCCACTTAAATCTCGCGGCAGAGGAGGGGAGCTGCTTGCGGGGGTTTTCTTGTGCGCTGCGATTGTTGTGGGAGCCGGATGCCCGGAAGCGTAAAAACTCAACGGAGCTGCGTTGCCTTTGGTGACGCGGGCGAATCGTACGATTTAAACAAAGGTCATCGAGGGTTCAGTTTAGGTTTTGGAGGCGATCTGCAAAAAGACCACGTCTGGACATTTTGGTGCAGATATTTAAGTTCATCTCCAGATGAATTGTGAATTTATTTTTTTTTCCCAACCATTAATACTTTGGTTCATTCCTCTCAGACTTTGGCATTAAGCTAAAGCTGGTTGAAACGTCCAGATCTTTACATTTAGATTTTGAATATACGGGGAACAAGGACAATAAGGGGCTGCTGTCACTTTCTTTCTGTCGCTATCTGCACGTACGCTGCATTATGACCAGAGTGAAGGCCGATCCTTCTAGATCGGTGGAAGCAACCGTGCCGTCCCGCCCCGGCACTGTGTGTGACCTCCCCCCTCCTCCCTCTCTCCCCCCCATCGGCTTGTGCTTTCTGAAATAGTGTTACAGTGCAGCAGAAAAGGCCTCGACTCCCCCCGGACGCGGAGCGCTGCGTCAAACCGCTCGTTGCCTCATTCCTCCTGACAGCTGGCAAGATAGACCGCGCTTCCCCAAGTTCCCCCTCACTCACTCACACACACGTCTCTATTTTCCTGCACGCAACCACATACTACTACTACTATTACTACTACTATGGCTGTCAGTCTGCGGCTGCTCCCTGTGAAGTGGTTCTGTGGAGCGCGGCGTTCGGCGTTCGGCGCCTCCAGGCAGGCAGTTTGGGACGAGTCGCGCCTCCGATTGCTTTTTTTTCCGAGCTCCCGGAGATCGTCGTCACGTGAACCACTGATGAGAAGTACTCTGTTTTTTTTTCAAAGCACCAGAAAGAAAAGTCACATTTTAACTTTTGCCTCTTCTTTTTTTTTTTTTTTAGTTTGAGACATTCTCATTTTTACTCATGATGCGTCATGAGCTGTCACACTGTATTTATTACTCCCTCCACTTAGCCGCAACCCAGCTGTTCACTATTTAAATAGATGTTTCAAAGATTGTTATTGTCATTTACACACGCCCTGTGTATTGAAATTCTTGTGCTTGCCTTTCCGGAAAGCCGACCAATTTTAAAATTAAAATAAAAATACAATATTTAAAAAAATAAAAAAATGAGGTACGGATGAGGCAGAAATGAGGTGAGAAGTGTAAGAGGAAAAGTGCAAAACTGAGCAGGTTGTAAAAGAAAAAACTTAAATTAAATTAAATGAGTTCAATATAAATGAACAGTACAGTAACAGTGAGTGAAATCCTAACAAGCTAAAGTGCAGAGCAGTGTGGAGGTTATAGAGTCCTCTCAGCTGTTGATGGCTCTAATGGCAGTGTTTGGCCTCCTTCAAGTATATATATTTATATCAGCGCTGTTTTTCTTCTTCTTCTTTCTAAATATATTCACCTCCAGCGTGTCAGAGGTTCCAACAGGGAGCAGAACTCTTCCATCGAATGTGAATGTGCATCATGGCTTTTCCATTGAGTTTATATCAGTGGCAACAAACAGCAACCTGACATTCACATCCACTTACACAGAAAAGCCTTGTGTAACAACATCAGGGTGCTTACTCTACCGACGCTGCCAGATGTGTGTGTGTGTGTGTCTGTGCTCCATCCCTTATTTCCATCGGTGGAGTGGTTCACTGTCACATGACTGCTGTCACTCATGTGCTCGGTCATGAGTGTATCGCTGCCCTCTATTGGTGAGAGAGGAAACTGTTTGTGTTTGTGTGTGTGTGTCTTGTGTATTTGTGTTTGCGTGTACAAGCTAATCTGTTTGACATTTTAAGAGCTTGATTGGATTCATGTAAAAAAATACATTGTTTGTACATTTTTTGTGACCCATCACAATTTTTATTCCATATTCGAACATTAATTGAGTTCAAATTAGAATTTGAACCAGATTAATTCTACCACACAACACTACTACACTACACTACTTCTCTGCAAATACCTCGGCCTTTTCTTTGTGTATGTGTGTCATATCCCCTGTAGGTGTGTGTGTGTGTGTGTGTGTGTGCCACCACAGAACAAGGCCTGCATTGATGCCGCCAGTGCAGCTCTGGAAGGCGTCCAGAGTGGAGTAGAGTGTTTGAGGGGCCTGAAGCAGGCGGGTGGAGGGGTGGTGGTGGTGGTGGTGGGGCGGAGGGTGGGGGCTCTTTCAGTGTTTCACACAGACACAAACCTTCAGTCTCCTCTTCATTCTCCTCAATGGGACTCTCAGAGGAGCATCGCCGGGCGCTCTGAGCCAAGTTGGCATCGGCCATTTGACCCAGAGAGTTTTTCCGCAATTACTGTCGCACTCGTTGAAGCGTTACGAATAAACTAGAATCCCCGGAGAATCATCTGTAGACAAACAACTGACGTAAACCATGAACCTCCTGCACGACTTTCATAGAGTCACATTATTATACGTCTCATCGGATTGATTCAAGGGTTTCCTCTTTAGTGTCTCAATCATAAATGTAAACGTATGCATGGATACTGGTTTTAAGAGGAGTCTCAGAGATACTTTATGAAGCCCTTAAATGAAGAGGAACCAGAGGAGTGTAGGCACGCTTGATATATACAATATTTAAAGAGGTTCAGGTGCCGTCATTGAGCCGCTTTTTGCATAACAAGGCGGCTGGATAATGTTTGTAGCGTGCTTACATGTGCCGTCAGTCATTTTCTGAAAGCCAATAATCACACAACGTATCGTTAAACATACTAAAACAGAACCATTACTTATTTATGTACAGTAAATGAACGAGAGTTCAGAGATTGTGCTGAAGATGTGGAGCTAACGTTAGCACAGTGCGTTAGCACAGTGCGTTAGCACATAACTAACTAGCGTGCTAATGATTGTAACAGAAGATAAAGGGTCCAATTGTCTCCTGTTTTTCTTCTGCTGAGTCGGTTCTGACTGTCTGGACCTTTTTATTCTACATTTAATGCATTTAGTGACAGTGTGGCTCCATTGAGGCTCTACCAGCTTGACTAACTAGCAACAAATGATCCGGTACTTCTCATCCGAACATAAATTAAGGGATGAATTTATCATTGAGATTGTCCCTCACTTCCACCCTGGCAGCCGTATCACATGAAACAGCTGTATAAATTCCCAGCAGGGATGGACTTGTAGCCCCCGAGGTGACCACAGGGCCCTCTGGGCTTCCTGTGCCGCGAATCATTCGATTCAATCCTCAATTCCCGTCACATCTGTACTTTCTACACCGTCCTCTTCTGTAGCAAGCTGCTCTGCTTAGTGGGGGGATTTTCTCCCTAAGCTGATTCATATCAGCTGATAGCCCTGTCATGAAGCCAGGCACTGGAATAAATAGATGAATAGACAGATGAAAAAAGCAATGAGCGGACAGCAGGGGGGGCGGGGGGCAGTTGTGTTAATAACAATTTGAAAGGTAATACCCGGGAAAGATGACAGACAGCTGTGGGGGGGGGGGGGGGGGGACCAAAAGAAAGACTAAGAGACCAAGATCCGGGGGGAAAGGGGAAGGCGAGAAAAAAACAAAACAAAAAAAGAAACGGGATGAGGATTTCAGGAGAAGAAGCGAGGATGAAAGACACTTGTTCGAGAAAATTGTGAAGCAAAGGAGGGTGGAGGAGGGTGTTGGTTCCTAATGAGGAGGCCACGCAGGGAGTGGCCGCTAACTGAGGAGCAGAAGTCGTATTCCATGATATCGTAGAGAGGGGAGACGCGGGATCCGGCTGCTCTAAGGAAACGGGAAGGAGCCGCGTGGCTGTCAGCGATGGCGAAGTGATAAATGTACAGTATCTTGACCTCGTGGCCTCCTCTGCCTTTATTCCCTTGTACAAACATCCATCCTGCAGGGAGTTAACAGCTGACGGAATATAGATTAGAAATTGAAATGAGCTTGGATGACCCCCCCCCCCCCCCCCACCCCTCTTTCTATCCATGTGGTCACATAAAGACATTATTACATTTCCCACACACAGAATAAAACTGATCTCTCCCGTCCTCCTTCCTCCCCCAGCTGATGAAACTCCTGCTGACTCCTCCCAACGTGCCCGCCGCCGCCGACGCCCACAAGGACAGAGTCCACGGCCATCGCTACAGCAACAGAAGCCTGCACCTGCGGCCCTCCAGACCCCCGGTCAAGGTGAGGCGCGGGTGGCTGCTGTCAGCGGTTATTGCACGTAGAGAAGAAGTCAGCATTCGATTAAGCTGGATGAATTGCAGTAAGCGGCGATTTTCGCTGTTGTCTCTCGCGCGTTTAGTGAAAACATGCCGAGTGTCGCTGTGCACAGACGGATGGTTGGCGGTAAACTGTTGCAGATTAGAAAACGCTTACATGGTTCATAAAAGGCAAATGGGTCTTTGATGTTTGCTGGATGAGCTGGAGCTTGTTTTTTAGTTTTCCTTCTCAGTGTGTGTGTGTGTGTGTGCGTGTCGATCTTGTGAGATATGCATCGTCGACATCAATCCCACATGAAGTCGTTTCATTAGGCTCCAGTAATGGCGCCACGGTTTAATCATTCATTATTAGTTCAGTGGCTTCGCCGTGAGCCGTCAGTGTTGGACCGAGCTCACAGGTCGTAGGTTAACATGAAATCGTTCAAGGCAAAAGAACCATCTTCCAAAATCAAAAAAAATGAGAGATTTCATTTTACACTAAAAGCTGGTCGAGCCTCAGCTGCCGCCGCTGACGGACGTGGCGTCGGGGCAGCGAGGACGTTCGCGGCGGCTGCTGCTGCGACTCGGCAGTAATTGGGCGGCGGCTCGCGCTGGGCCTCAAGTGGCCGTTGATTACCGCACCGCTCGCTCGTCCCGCACGAGGAGACGGGATACCCGCGGGATGCAGGGCGGGGTGAGCCGAGCGGGTACCCATCACGTGACCTCCCGACCTGGCCCTTGCGCGCGTGCACGTGTGTTTGAGCTTTGGAGTGTTGAGTGACAGGTCAGAATCATCCTTCAGGTTGACTTGAATGTACCGCTTAGTGGTCCAGGCTTCTGTATCAAGGGCAGGAAATTGAAGATACACGATATTTTCATTTTCTTTTCCCGATTAACTGTAGATGAGATATTTATGGAGCCCCCTTTATGCAAGTATTTCTTAAATTGTTTCAATGTTCCAAAATTGGCGTTTTGATTGGATGTTTTGATTTACGCGCGCGCATCAACCTGATTTGCGCTCTCGAATTTTGACAGTGATTTGCCGCCATATTCTTCCACCACCCTCAGCAAGGACGTTCAGCTGAGGGACGCCAAATGTCACCAAAAGGTTTACAGGAAAAATCACCAAAGAGGTGATGTGGTAAAATCCCGGAAACATATCGTATCTCATGAATATGAATATATACTATATATATATATATCACAAATGTTATAAAAAAGTCATGGTCTAGTATGTTGGAAAAACATCATCAAATATCATGTTATGTTTTAGATGAATGTTATAAAAAAACAATAAGGATTTACGGACAAATGTCCTTAGCGTGTCATTAAATATGTCATACTAAATGTATTTATATGAATAAATATAGTATGACATATTAGTGCATATATAGTGGTATAGTACAATAATGTCAAAGTAAAGTACCTATAGAATATTTTTATCAAAATCACAAAGGAAGGATGTTCAACGATGTTCAACGTTCAGTTCACTCACCTAGTTCAGGCTGAATCTTCGAGGTTGGAGATGAATTTGGGTCAACGTTTCCCACGGAGATAAAAAAAAAATATTTAGAAAAATCTTAATCTAGAACATTGATGTTAAATATGAATTTGAGGGTTATGTTTTTCTCTGCACATCTCTGGTGATACGTGACTGTGGGCTGAATGTTGAGTCGCTGAATCCCGCTCAGGACGTTCGCTTGTCTCCACCCTCCAGGCCGACCTCCGTCAGCAGAGGAAGCCCCGGGCGGTGCGCCCCGCCGGCCACCTGTGTACCGAGCTCCACCGCCACCTCACCACGGCCCGGGACTCAGGGGACGCCCCGGCCCCGGACACGGAGGAGGACGAGGAGGACGAGGAGGAAGAAGAGGACGAGGACAGCGAGTCGGAGGAGGACGAAGAGGACGAAGAAGAAGAAGAAGAGTCTTCCAGCAGCGAGGCGGAGGCCGTGGCGGTCGCGTGCGCGGCCCCCGCCGAGCCGCCGAAGCCCCAGTTCAGCTCGGAGAAAGAGCTGCGCTCGGTGGTGGAGCTGATCACGTACATGCACACGTACTGCCTGCCCACGCGCAAGCAGCAGGGCTGGGAGCGGAAGGACCGCGAGGCCGCCAGGCCCCGGGCCAGACCCGAGGGCCCCCGCCCGGCCCCCACCGGCTCGCACAGCAGAGTCGTCTTGGTGGCCGCCCCCGCGGCCAGCGGGGGCTCGGCCGGGACGGGCCCCCGGAGGGTCCCCTTTGCGAGGCGGAGGGAGGTGAAGGCCAACTCCCTCCTGCGCTAGCTCCTGCAGCGGAGCAGCTCTTCGACGTGAGCAAGCTTACAGACTGCACAGCCCCCCTACTCCAACCCGCGCGGCGCCGCCCAAGCGGAGTCGCGAAAGACTCGTCTTCTCGAGAGAGAGCGGCTCTTGAAGGCGCGCGGAGCGTCGAGGAGGCGGCGGAGGACGGCGGCTCCTTCTCGGTCCGGCGCTCGCGGCGCCTGGCCTCCTTCCCCAGCCGCTTCGGCAAGAGGCCGCGGCCTGGACGGGCCAGGGAGGGGGAGCGGAAGGGCAGGGAGGAGAGGGAGGAGGGACGGGCCGCGCTCAAGCTCCTGCCGACGCAGGCGGGCGGCGGCGCGACGACGACGGAGGCGCCGACGGCGGGCGACGAGCCGGCCGCACCCTGCTGCCACAACGGTGAGGACGGACAGAAAGCGCGTTACCCATAATCCTCCTCTCAGCATAGCGACCAGTGTCACGCTTTATGTACCTGCAACTGATCACACCCACACACACGCCTCCACGGAGCAGCACTAGGAGGTCCGCACGCAGACGGGTGGGTCCTAAAGTTCTGCGTGGTTGTAACCTGCTTCTCATTGTGATTGCAGAGAAGCGAGCCTGCCTCTGCCTGACTCTCACCCCCAAATCCACAGGGTGAGTTCCGCCTTCTGTGCTGCAGCATCGTGGACGCATCCTGAGATCAATGTCTTTTGTCCTCCCGCTGAACCTCCCGTTGTTCACGAGGCTACGTGGTGCGGACCAAATAATCCCAATGAGTCGGCAGTGCATTACTGATTACCATTGATCTAAACTCCACTTTAAAATGTTGCGGTGCTTTTTTTTCAAGAAATCACCATCTCGCCTTGAAAAAAATCCTCTGCAGAGCAAACAGGTGAAAGATGAGAAAAATTAGAAAAACAGTATTAATATAAGGTCTCCTTATATTAAAATGTTCTAAAAAGTCATAATGCTAAATATTTGTAATTTACCAAGCAGACCAGACAGGAGAAACCGGCTGATGGTTAACGAACGTTAAACGTTGGATTAGTGTCCGTGGATCTGATGAATGCTGTAATCTGTGAGGCAGATCGCGAGGGCCGTCTTCGCGCTGCAGAATGGGCCTGAATCCGCGTCCTACGCGTAAACGTGTAATCTGAAAATCCCTCGTGAATTATGGCTCCTGGCTGCTCAGATCTCAACTTCCCCACCTGGCACCTGTCCGTCTCCTTAGTGGACGTGTCCTCCGGAGCAACCGCAGGAGCAGAAACCGAGCGCAGCAGCAGAGAGGAGAGAACAGGGGAGGGGACAGCCGAGCACATGTGGTCGGCTGCGATAAGAAATGAGGAGCGCTGAGAAATGTCAGTAGCATTTACAGCGAAACATCATTCAAATTCAGCGGACATCAGCTGGAAGGAGCTTCTACTGGGAGACGTTTCAGGCTGTTGTTGGATTGCGTTTGACCGGGATGTGAAAAAGTACAACGTATTCCAAGATGACACAACACTCTTTAATTGACCTCTCTCTCTCTCTCTCTCTCTCTCTCCTCCTTTGATTGCTGTTGTCTCTTCACCAGCAGAGAGTCCCAGTACGGCAGCAAGCCTTTCGAGCAGACGCTCGGCATGGATCTGTGTGGAACAGCAGGTAAACGTCTCGCGTGGCCTCGTTCTTTGTTTGGGTTCAGTTTGAAGATGTCGTCGCATTCAGGTGCATTTCGTTGCCACGTTTAGAAGAAGATGGTTGAGACCTCTTTCATCTCTGTATAGTAAATGTGCAGCTGGAGGCTGTTAGCTTAGCTTAGCACAAAGGCCGAGAGCAGAAATGTGGATTCGTCCAATGGAACCAAACCGGTGAAGGGGGATTATGTGCCGGACCATTTCTTTGCCGGAGGGGGCGTTTACGTCCGGCTCATGCGGGTCTCCTCTCTCTCTCCCCCCCTTTTCTTAGGTCTCACCCCTCCCACCACCCCGCCTCACAAACCGGTGGAGGATGAGCTCTTCAAACCGGCAGAGGGAGGAAAGGTGGGTGAAGGAACAGGAGGAGGCGGCGTCGAGGCGGCTCACGCGGCCTCCAGTACCAACGCCGCCGCCGCCGCCGCCAAGGGCTCGACCCGGCTGACCCGCGCCGCCCACCACCGGAAGCTCCCGGAGCAGACGGAGCTGTACGCCCAGCTGCGCCGCATGGGCCAGGCCGGCGACGGCGACACCCGCCGCGCCTTCGGCGACCACGACTACTGCGCGCTGAGCCTCGGCGAGAGCCGCAAGCGCAGCGCCGCCATGCTCGGCGCCATCTTGCAGGCGCAAGGAGGGAGCGACGGAGCCGGCTCCGCCCCCGCGCCCGCTGAGGCCGACGAGCGGGCGTCGGACGGCGAGGGAAAGGAGAGCGGGGAGGGGCCGGCAGCGCCGAGACGCCTCTGGCATCAGGGGCGCGGCGGTGACCTTCTCGACGTCGCCGATGACGTCACTGCTGCGCTGCCTGACGCCGGCTGCTGCCACGCCGCCGGTCTCGGAGGAAGAGGCGGAGCGCTCGTCTGCGTCCCGCTCACCCTCGCCCATCCTCCACCTGTGTCCCGACTCCCCCGCCAGCAAGACGGACTCCAGGTGAGACTGGGCGACGCGAAGAGGAAGGCGGAGGTGTCAAGATGGCGGTTCGAGGGGCGCAGATCCCCGTTGAGGTGTAGAGTCGGGGGGGGAGGGGGGGGGGGAAAGGGGGCGAGGCCACGCAAGTAGAACACAGTAGTAGAGTTTACGACGCTTTGTCCATCCTTTGGTTTATCGTCACCGAACCTTCGAGATGACGTCAAACAAAAGGTGCAGAAACGCACGGCCGACAATTGTGTTTCATTCTTTTTACTACACAAATAAATGCACGTGCATATTGAATTAGGAGGCTGGTCTGATCTGAGGCCTGTAAACAGAAATACACAACACAAACAAACGGGGTATTGTCTACTTAAACGTAGGTCAGCGTTGATTTTATATATATGAGATAAAGTTTGACCACGACTGTCCCACATAGAAGAAGGTCAGCGGTGATGTTATTTCTGTACATGGAAGACAACGGCAGAAGAAGAAGGAGGAGGGGTGGGGGGGAGAGAGGGGAGGTACTGCAGTAAGTGGGAGACAGCCCGCCTTTTTGCCGCAGTTCACCCGTTTCCTGATGTCTGACATTTCAGTTTCACCTTGTGTCCGTCCTCATCTCTCTCTCTCTCTTCTACTTTTTCCTTCTCTAGCTGTTTTAGTGAAAACTCTGAGATCACACCCGACGACAAGCAGAGGAACAAAGCCAAGTGTGACGAGGTACGAGGAGAACATCCTCCAGCTCCACTGCACCCGGTTGACTTAAAAGACACGTTTTAATCGAAAAGCAAACTCCCGCTCAGTAGCTCTGGGCCCTGCAGAACGCACCTCTAAAGGTCGAGCGGTTTCCTGATTTTAAACGCGCCGATTCCCCACCCCGGGAACGCTCTGCAGGACGCGGCGCCGCCGCCGCAGCAGCAGCGCACGGTCCGTCGGGATCGCGCCAAAGTTCTTGCGTGTCGTACGTATCGTCGTTTGTCCTGACTGTTGCCATGGTTTCCCTGTTGCCAGGACAACTGCCAGGTGTTTTACATCCACAACCTGCCGACGAGCGTGACCCAGAACATGCTGAGGAAACGCTTCCAGGTTTTCGGCAAACCCGAGGACTGCAAAGTCATCATCTGCAACGAGTGAGTGTGCCGATGCGGACGGAGGAGAAAAGTGTATCACACGCAGTCTTTATTATCACATGATAGTGGTGCAGTCAAATCATGTTCCAGGGAAAGATCAGATCAGTAACAAAAGGGGGTGTTTTAGCTTTTAGGTTGGTTTCCTGTATCCTTCCAATGTCGCGCATCTGATTCTCCATCTCCACTGATGCAAGTAGGCAGCCAACTGGTGGTTACCCTTACCTGAAAGTGTCTGTCTCTCCACCTGTGTGACTGTAGGGAGCGCTGCGGGGTGATAAAGATCCGCCAGGCGGGGGTTCAAAAGCACTGGAGAGAGCGGGAGACTGTTTTCCAGAGCGGGCCCGCGGGCCTGAGGAGGCTAACGAGGAAACGCTACATAGATCTCGGTAATGAATTGTGACACGCTAACAAAGTTGTACTTAACGCGGCAAAAGTCTAGTACTTTCTCACCGCGTGAGTCGGGTCGGATACCGAGGCGATCGCGTTGTGTATCAGCTCGCTCGCGCTGCACAGGAGCCAAAGGCGGGATCACAAAGCCCCGCCCCCCCCCCCCCCTCCTGTCACTCACAGTCCTGTCTTCCCGTCTCGTCGGCTGCGGTTGAATGGAATAACTTGCGTGTTCGCCCTCCAGTGGTTGTCTGTCCCGCTGGATAAACTGCGACTGCCCCTCGAATTCACTTGACGCAGATTTCTTACGTTGCGATGCTGACGTTGCTTTTCTGTGTTGTAGACGAGGCAGGACCGGGCCCCGTCAAGAGCAAGTACGATGCACTGGACTTTGACGCTCTGCTGAAGGAGGCCCAGAAGTCCCTGCACCGCTGACGGGCCCGGCCTTTAAAGTGCAGCAACTCCCCCCGCGACTACACGGCTCTGCCCTCGCAAAGGCCTTCGTAGTACCTCCATGCAAGGCAACCTCGCAAAATGTTTACATTTTTACCAATGGAATAAAAGTAATGTTAAGGACCTCGTCGTTTCTTTTTTTTTTTTCTTTCTTTTTTTTTTTAACGTTTCTTTCACCAGAGGATACTGCTTTAAAAAAAACGAGGAAGCCACCGGGATTCAAGAGCTAACGGATGAAAACGGGACACGGCAATGGAGCAACGGCTGCAGACGAGTTCGTTGCTGAACGAGAATAACGAAGAGCCGTCTTGTGTTGTTTGAGAAGCCCCTCGACCCCCCACCCCCCCGACCCCCCCTCACGGAGAGACCTCCGTAGCAGATCCTTGCTATTCCTGCGTTGCGTTGGTTGTCGTGATGTACGTTTCTGCGCGTGTGTGTTCTTTGTCTTTTTTGTAAAAAAAAAAATTCAGAAAAAAAACTCTCTCTTTTTCCGGTTTTCGGGTGGTGAACCTTTCAAGCTGTTTGTTCGCCATGAAGTCCTGCGGTTGTAAAAAAAAAAAAGAATAATGTACCCCTGCTTTGTTTTAGCAAAAAATTGTGGATGTTATACATTTTCAAATCTATTGTGTGTGCGCGTGTGTGTGTTATGGACAAAGAATATATATATATATATATATACAAAAAACATTTAATCATTTGATGACTGATAAAGTTTACAAATCTAAAATGAAGATGAAAAAAAATTCATGTTTTTTTTTCTTTTCTTTTTTGTAACTGTAGTGCTTCCTTGATTTGATCTATGCACTGTAAGGAGGTCGATACCTCCTCCGCTCCCCTTGTGACTCTGAACTCTGCCATGCCGACTATCCTGGACTCCGCTACTGGCTGCCGCAGGCTCTGTTTGATCCGCGTCGACTGACTAAGACCCCGACTATGTCCTGGAAAAAATGACACCTCTAAATTCCATAAGTAAGTTGCCCGTTGAGTTATTACATAATTCTCAAAATTCCTTCGGCGTGGCCAGATTGTATAACGAGCCTTCAAGTTGACTGAATTTTTTTTTTTAAAAAGGTACGTGCTACAAATCCAACAATTGGACCTTATGGGGTTTTTTTGGTACAGAAATTGGGTGAAAGAAAAAAATTGAGATTGTCCTTGATGTGTTGTACCTGGGTCATGATGTATGTCTGATAGAGTCCCACTGAACATGCGTCCAACAATGGCCTCAGCCTATCGACATCCCCGGAGGCCACAGCCAATGCAGCGCTCACTGTTTACATTTGGACTGCGGCAAGCAGGACCAAAATGGGGAATTAAAGATGAAGATAGCCATAGACGCTCTCGTACCACACTTTGTTCATCACAGAACTTGGGTATGATTTCGTCACATCTGCTCTTCGTGCGGTCCAGACTTCTTCCACGTACAAGTTCTGTCACCATATCCCTCACGATATAGTTGATTCTGTCAGCTATTCGGATGGTTCATATGGTATTCGGTTGGTTGGCCTGACGCTGAATTTTTAAAGAACAAAAAAGGAAAACCGGACCAATTTGCTCTCCATACTCCACCCGCAGAACGTAGCCAGATGAGACAAATCTGTTGGTTCAGATGGAATGTATTGAAGAATGTGAATGTAATCGTGGGTTTTCACCGCCTCTGTTCCCCCCCAAAGACTGTGGCACGTTTTTTTTTCTCCCCCTGCTTTTAAAAAAAAAGGTTGACGGCACGTGACGAACTCTGGGCTTTGAAGGGCAGTTTTGAGGCGGCGCCTAACCAACATTCCTGACGCAGCCAGTAGCGACCTCCGAAGTGGGGGGGGGGGGGGGGGGGTAAAGGGTGAGAGCCTCCAAACCTGCCAAATGTACGGCGGCACCGAACCCTTCACACAGCCGGGGAGGGAGCGAAAGAAACCGAAGCGAAACCTGAAGAGCAGCCGACCGGCTTCTCGTCCAGGAGGTCCTGCACCAGCTGAGCGTCTCTACCTCACGTCCATCCGATCCCCGAAACCCCCCCACAGAAAAGCCCCTCCTCTGGGCGAGGGTTCTGAGGGGGGGGGGGGGGGGGAGGGGGGCTATGGGTAGTTCGGGAGGGTTTGGTGTTTGACCCCCCCCCCTCCCCCCGTGAGGGCAATAACCTCCTGTCTTTCTCTGACTCTTTGCTCCGCTTGCCTCGACGGTTTTGTAGCGTGTCCGTTTCTTGGAGTCTCGACCGTGTGTCCTTGTGTATCTGAGTGTGTCGTCTTTGTCTCGTGTTTGAGTCGGACGCCGCTGACGCTTGCAGGTCGGTCGGGCGAGGAGGGGAGGGGAGGGGGGTCGAGCGGTGGCTCAGTTGGGGGTATGTCCTTGAGTGCGCTTGCAGGGGGATAGGGGTCCCCTCTTTTGCCGTTCTTCTTCAGGGACACGCGCCATTCCTCCGGGTTCCCCTCGTCCTCCTCCCCTGGCCGGGATATTTCAAGGGAAAACGCAGCTCGTCCTTTTTTCCAACTCTTACGGCTTTCCGTCGCTGGTGGGTTCGAGGCCTTGTTTCCGGGTCGTCCCTGGAGCCCCGCTGAGCTCTCTGATAAGCCTCTCCCTGTCCTCCTTCCCCCTTTCTCTATCTAATCAACTCCTCGGTAACACACACAAAAATTTGAATGTTTACATCACTCGATTCTCCTTTGACTTTATTAGAAACGCACACTTCGTACAAAGGCGCCTTATTCAGTGTTTTAAAAAAAAAAAAAAACTGCAAGTGAAGTTACTTAGCGTTACTTCTCCAGGCTCACCGATGTCCAAAACTAACAAAAACAATTTAGTGCTATACATACTGATTGAGGAATAAGTTGTCAACTTCTAAAAAAAGAAAGGGAAAAAAAAACACATTTTAACAATTAATCTCTGAATGAGTATTTGTGCTTAGTATGTATACGACTAAAAAGTGAGAGAATGTGCTGGTTTACATATAAAAAAAGAAAATATAATATATGAATATAAAATGTGTACATAGCACTATGCCTCGTTGTAAACATAAAATGTGAGTTTATTTTTTTTCAAGTGGCCGGTCATAGTTGATTGCTAATCAGACCGCAGATCCGATTAGTTTATTTCAAATTAGTCAATGTTTTTTCAGTGCAGGGAGGAAATTAAGGGAAAAAGTTGAAATGACTTCAAAGTCCGACACTGGTGTAAAAGAAAGACACAAGTATCCCTTTAGACTATCACACTAGAAGGTTGTTTGATTTACCCTTAATGAAATGACTATATATTTTTTTATGTTTTTATTTTACGTTTTCTTTGAAATGCAATATATAATAATCTTATCTTGAAGACAGCCTTTACGGAAAAACGGAGGTAATAATGTACAGCGGTTGTACCACACGGGCGATCTTTGAGGCCACTTTACCGCGTGTCAACTCAAAAAATCATGAAAACAAACTACAGGAAGAATGTGGTGATTTTGCGCCGTAAACACATAACACGTGTGCTAAGAACAAATGATAACATACTCTTGCACAGATAACGTCCCAAGTAGTGAAATATCTTCACAGTTTTATCATTGAGAGGAAGCCATTGTAACTATGTTATTACCACTTTTTGATGGTACACAGGTTTGTTCAAATCTGAGTTGCATTGAACACTTACTTTTCTGACCGTTAAAAGCCAATAACTGTACATGTATGACTGGTGAAGGAATGTGGGGGGGGGGGGAAAGTGAGTTGTTGCTGGTTTTACCCAAGTTTCACTCTAGCGGACACCGATGGGGTCGACACTGTGGAAATCCCAGTCCCACTGCTGCACCTCCACCTCGCCCTAAAAGCCATTAAGCATCTTTCCATCAAATGTAAGTTACAAAGCCGATTTGTGGTACAAAATGGCTGGAACGCAAAGTTTGTGTCGGCAGGACTGTGGCGTACCGAAGCAGGCTTGATAAAGGCAGCCCGGATTATTTGGGATCACGAAAACCACACTGGGACAAAAAGTAATTTTACCTTGAAGCTGGAAGTCGACCAATTAAAAACAATCCTTCAAACTGGTGGTTGCGATACAGCTGTTGTTACCGAAAAGGGTTTTCAGTCCGCTAAAAACAAGTTTTGTGCGTGGCAGACTGATCTACTTTAGCCTTTTATTATTTCCACGTGCAATCCAAAAATCGGATTAGAGGGAACCTTAAACTAGAAGCATGTGCTGGGATTTCTGCAGTGGTGAGTGCCTCCATTGTTCGAGAGGTGATTGACAGTGAAACACCCCCTTTTTCCATCATGCCAAGCTTTAAAAAATCATCTTGGGGTGAGAGGGGGGGGGGGGGGGACTAAGCTACCACTAGCTTTCATTATTACCGTTTCAACTCCTTTCCAATCCAATGTGGTTTATTATTAAATAATTACTGACGTAATTAAAACTTTTTTCAATAGCCATATTATAATAAAAAGCTATATACATATATATGAATATATATATATTTGTGTGTTTGTGTAGATATCTAGATTATTATATACTTTCTTATAGAAAACTTTGGTGTTGACCATTCTCCTCGTTGTTTTGAGAACACGTTGACACATTAAACACGATGCTACTGTCCGACCTGGACAACTAATCCAAAAAATACAAAAAAAAAAAAACATCCTTCCAAAGGGAATTACCCTCGTCAGAATGCAATACCTTTCTTCCCATTCTTCATTTCAGAATAAGAATGGACAATGGCAAGAAAACCACAAAACTTGATGGGCAAGTTGACCAAAAAAATAAAACTCCAACAATAAAGAGCGCGGCTCGTTTTCCGACCGACCGCCTCGAGTCCAGTTTTATAGACGTTGTCGTTTTCGATGCCATTGGCCCACGAAGGAAAAACCCAGTTCTTTGTGTTTATCTGTTTTAGTTTTTGGAAAACAATGTATCCGTCGGCTAGCTACACCGTTACATTCAGCCCCTACCGGGAACGGAGTGCTTGCAAACACCGGCCTCAGATTCCACTTCCACGTCTGCTCGGCAACAGTTGTACCACACACACAAAACAACGGGCCACACGTCGAACTCGATAGCAACACTGATGTCAAATAGGCACTTAATAGGGACTGCAAACTGTCAAAGTGGGTGTTTTCTTCTTCTTTTTGTGGAAGACATTTTTTTGACATAAAGGGCATACGTTGCTTTCTGTAGTTTTTCATTTCAATTGATTTTATTGTCTCTTTACATCTAATGACTATCAAATTCACATAATGTTTTTTCTTTTTTAACTTAGTTTTTGGTAAAAACAAAAAGGTAAATACTGCTAGTGAGATTTTATATTTTTACATATGTTGGTTTTATTTTGCGTTTCTTTTTTTATTTATATGCCATTTAGTTTGGTCTTTCAATGGTGTTTTTTTTCTCTCCTTTTTGTGTGATTTAATATGTCTTGAGAATGTGGAGACAAAGGCATTTCAGTATTTTTGAATTGTTAAAATCTAGTTTCATAGAAGCGGAAGTATCTGATATTATAAATTATATTTTAATTCATGTAAATGGTTTAAAACAGAAGACTATGGCTTCCTTTTAAACTGAATACATTTCTCTTCAGAGATTGTTTACATTATGAAACTGTAGAGACGTGCTCCTCATTTACTGTATAAAGTACATATATACATTGATTTGCCTCAAAAAAATAAAATCCTAATGAACAGCTTTCTTTCGGTGCCCGTGTTGATTTCGGGAGACGATGGGTCACACTTTCGTTACTTCGAGGGACAACGAACACGAAAAGACCAAAAGAAACAATTCCACTCATTCTGCAAATCGCTTAAATTAGGCACTGTGTTTTCCAGCAGATGTGATTCGACTAAATCTTTTTGACAACGTTTAATCGTTTGTTATTTTTAAAATCACATACAAAATCATTGCTTTACTGTTGGGTTATTAACAACAAACCAGGCTTAGTTAGGTCAATTTTTCAGCATAGGTCGCCATAGTTACCAAGCTTCAACGATGCCGGATTTACCTCTTGGAACCAAATCATATATTTCGTTAGCTACTTGCAGCTACAACAGATCGTCCCTTTCAGTCGGCATCAATAACAACGACAGAGATGAACAGATCTTGTGAGCAGCTATAATGTCTCCAGACTGACTGCCTGCACACTACCAGACCATATGCCTGCATGCCAACACAAGGCAGCACGTGTTGGGATCAGCCTGTCCACGCTGTGGAGAGGTTCAGCTTCATAAAGCGCACACGCACGCTAATGGCCGCTGCCTCCCTCCAGTCTTCCTCTGGTTAAACAGCATCCTATTAACAGGCCGCTGGCAATTTTCCGCCCGGCTAGACTGTGATTCGCGTGTGAGTGACTGCGCTGATGATGTCTGTGCGCGAGGGACATCGCTGATCCGCCACCGCTGTACTGACGGCCTGCTGTCAGTCCCGCGGCGGCAAAGACACGCGCCATCTTTTATGTTCTCACGAGAGAGCCACCGTCAGGAGAAAGGCAACGGAACAGAGGATGGAGAGGAACCATCATCCCCCTGGTGTGGAGCAGAAGGACCCTCGAGAGGGCAAGAAGAAAGGATGAGGTTAAGAATGAGAATAAATGTGATTTTGTGGAAGGTAAAATATGCAGGATGGATCTCAGGCACCTCGAAAGTCGCTCAGTGAAAAGATTCAGAGTCACTTCAAACGGCTGCCGACACACACGTCTTCTGCTACGTTAATGCTCCCAACGTCGCTCTGAGGAGCCATTGAAACGATGCAAACCCACCAGACAGCTCAAGCGCTCGTGCAGCAGATCCCAAACATTCACACATTCAATCTGGAACATTTAGTTCTGGGGACTCTTTGATATATTTGTTTTCAGTCCGACAGGCCTTACGCTCCAGCAACGAGGCCATTGCTGCTATTGGTAGCTGCTCCTCAGATTGAGCTGGTCAGCTCACCTTATTGATCAAGGAGAACATTAAAGATACACCCAAAAGTTCAGCTCTGATTTGGGATTTCGGCATCCGGAGTCTGATCGCCGCTTGGTGCTGCTTTCAGGGGGATCGGAGCCCTTTGCTCAAGAAAAATAATGAGAAATCACTACGACCAGCTGGAAGCGGCCCAGGTGTGTCGAGCTGAACATTGCAGTGGTCGTGCTCAGTTGGTTTGGAACCGAAAAACACTTTTCATTTCGTAAACACGCAAGTCTCAAACAAGCCTCCTCGGCTGTGAACAAGAGTCTGAAATAGTTTTACCTGCGTGGCCTGCAGCTCACTCCTAATAACAAGGGGGGGGGCATTCATTGTTTTTATGGCCTCTCATTCCAACTGCATCAGGTGCTGGATTGCCCCCCGACACAAAGAACCCTTCTGCTCACGATCTGATGAAGCCAGCAGAACTACATCGTTTGTGAAAGCGATGTCACCCAAAGGACGGCTCCTTCATTCCGCGACAGACGGCACGAACGAGGCGAAGGGTCTCGGTGGAGACCGCTGCTCTCTACACACGCGCTTGACCTCTGATAGCAGCAACGCCAGCTTCCATTTGTTGTCACAAATCAACCGGAGGAGTCGCACCAACGCGCCCAACCTGTTCTACGGACGGACAGCTTTTCCATTCCCTCCGACTCGCTGAGGCGCTTTCAACAGACTGAAATAACCTTCGCGAAGGTGAGATTTACAGCCAAGCTGCCGCGTTAGACTGCAATGCCCTTAACTACTTTTACTTTGGTGACTAATTGTACAGCCCCAAAGCCGGAGTTGCAAGCAGGCGATCAGGAACGCTCCCGTCAGCCTCCTCCCGTCCCCCCGCTGTCCTCTGCCGTCTTGTTTCTGCAGGGCAGTCGTGACTGCAGCAAACAGAGCAGCTCCGCAGTGCAGAGTCATTAGACGCGGTGTCATCCTCCAAGAGCTCCGGCTTAACTCTGACAGGGACAGAAACACGACTGTCGACTGTAACCCCCCCCCTACACACCACCACCACCACCACCACCACCACCATCCCCCACGACCCCTCACTTCTGCTCCGTGGGACGCCTGCCTCTCTGTGCGAATCCGATCAGTGTATCGGCGTACATTTCTGTACATGGTTGTCTGTCAGGACACTAACTGGACAGAGAACATGCGCCACTGCAGGACGCAGTATGAGGTCAAAGGTCACCTTGTAGCACACTGATAACTGTCAGATTCAGCGGATGCTGACCTCGTGCCACACATACACACAGAAGATCGACAGAACCAAAGAGCTCTACCTAAAGCGTTAATAGATCACTAATCTCCGGCTGCTTAGTCGTGACCTGCGATATTAACATCATTCTTGGCCTGAGGCGATTTGTTTTGAACCCTTTTGAACATATTTTATGAGCCAGACCGGTTGAGCACAGCGGTATTTGCCGTTACGCCAGCAGACCCAACGTCTTGCAGTTGGCGATGCGTTGGTTCTGTCCGTGTATTGTTCGAGATGTTGGATAAGCTTCTTAACTGTCCTCAGGAGACACGTTGATCCGAGCAGCAGCAGCACACATCACACCTGCCGTGACGGGAGTCCTCAGCCATCGTGTTCTGCGTGCACTAAAGGGAAGGCGTGAAAGGACAAATGACAGGGGTCACGTCGTTGCTTTGCACTCTTAATTACCCCCTTTGTCTTTGGAAACTGGAAACAGTTTTTTAATCCTTTGTTTTTGTCTCTCCAGGGATTAATTTACTAATCCGGCTATTAAGTATATTAAATTAAATTGGCTGTTGATAACATTGTATTAAATCAATCTGTGGGCTCTAATAAAGTAGGTAATGTAGATTTATTTGGGCATTTTACACATTGAATGAACAACAATCAGTGGTTACAACCTGCACATGTCAGACATTTATAAACCACACAGAATCGCAATGTGGCTGCATCTTGGGAAACTTTGTTTTTAACAACAACAATGCATGTAAACATGTTACCATTTTATGGAATGTCAATATATGTCAACAGGGTGAATTCATAAAACAGTTATTCAGCTGATCTGGAATCGGTCATTAGCTGCGTCCCTGGTTCCCTCCGTGGTGCGACACGCGCGCAACCACCACCGCGCGCCACCATTCAACACACACACACACACGCACACACACGCACGAGCGTGCGTGCGTCACGAAATGCTGATTTCGACGACATCGCGGCGGCAAAAAGAAAAAGGCGACTTCTTCTGCTTGGAAACTGCGGGCGATCCTATAAATAGTCCCGCATCGCTCTCTCGGCTGGCAGCTCCGCAGTCACGACTGCCCCCAGATCAGTGCAGGAACGAGGCTGAAGGCTCCCCGGGTGTACTGCAGCTGCTGCTCCCCCCCCCCTCCCCTCCTCCTCCCCTCTCTCCCTCTCTCCCTCTCTCTGCAGTCACGGGACGGCGCTGCGTCAGAGCTTTACGCGCTGCGCCGATCATCACCACCATATACGGCGATCCTTTGCGCTGCCAGCGCGGCCTGACGTCACACACCGATGACGACACACGCAGGTTATACGTCCATGCTGGCGTTGTGTTACTATGCCGCGTGAGGGAGGGATGATGCATTTAGCTCCGGTCCTGCCCGCCCCCTCCCTCCCTTTACCCCCCATCGTGGCTCCAGTGGTGATCGCTTTTCATTATCCCACTCAGGGGTCATGTTGTGTTTTATAACGGTATTATGTATGGCTCTAGGTGGGAGAATTAACCATGTGCACACACACACACACACATGCTAATGGGAAGCGTAGCTGGCAGATGTTGATGCATTGTGAGCTGCTGTGCAAGTCCTCTCTTATGCATGTTTCCTGCAGAAGATTCCACCTCGATCACACGGATAAATATTCATGTTTGCGACAAAACGTTTGTATTTCTCCGCGGCATTGAATCACCTTTTCGGTAATAAACACAACGTAGTCAACCTTATTTTTCCAGGCACGTTTGTTTAGGCACAACCTTCATGCAAAATCAAAAACATTGGAAATATATAATATATAATCTATTTTCCTTGAAATTTGCTGAAGAGACACAATGGGGGGGGGGGATACCTGTTTTTGGGGAAATCCATTTTGCACACCACACCGCTCCTTCACACGGCTGTCAGTCAGAGGCCTGCTGGGCCGTAAACCCTCACGGTTGAAAAGAGCGCGAAACTTTTCCAAACAGATTCTCCTGGCAGCGGAACGGAGGGCAGTGAGAGTTCAACAAACACGGCGTCCGATGTACACGGATGTGTGGCTAACCTCGGAGCCGCGCCGGGGGGGGGGTTTGGGAACATATACTGCAATGGCTGTATTAATGCATATGTTGCGCCAGTCAGTCCAGAGCCCACAGCATCTCCCCGGTGTCCATTCATCCGTCCATTCATCCATCCATCCATCCAACCATCCATCCCCCGTTTGGTCCGCAGTTCTTCCCCCCTGCTGAACACGACCCGAGCTAAGCCCCCGCCTCCCCTTCCTGCGCCTTCCCAGAACTTCCTTGAGGCCGACGGGTCCTTCTCCATAGTTGCTCCCAGTCGGCCGCCTGCAGGTCGCTCCATTGAGCATGTGCTAATATTACTAAAAGAAGCAAATCCCTCTCCAAAGGAAATACATATGGAACCAAGTCAACGCTGCTTATCGTTGCCATATCATACATATGTATGACTTTTATTTTTTCAAATTTTGGGGTGCTAAAATGTTATTTTGTTCTTTCCAGATAAACTAAGCACATTTGACATATTTATGACGGAATTTATCAAAAAACACGCAAACAATAAAACTACTCAACTCTCCCTTTAAAATAAACTGCAACAATAAAAACACAGACACCAAAGTAATTCAGTGGGAAAATACAATATATTTACTTCTATCTGCAAATAAGCAAATGCACATCTCCACATTATTACTTCAGTAAAACTGAATAAAAATACATTTTCTTGTATTGATCCGCAGTATCGACCGACTCCAACATTGAACGTTAACTGAGTAAGATGTTGCTTCTTGTAACGCTAAAAAAAGTCTCAAAATAACATTTTATCGTGAGCAAGCTTTAACTACAAAACACCTGAGAGCAACGATGCAGCGACACGGTTCGACATTGTCCTTTAGTTTCATTGGCTTTACAGACTTGGACTGTTGACCCAGTGAGATGCTCCAGTTGACGTTGTTTGTTGGATGAAAGTTCAGCCATCGTACTTTAAGTGGAATTTTTGTTATTTCTGTCGATCTGCTACTTTTCCGCGTAACAGCTATTTTTACTCGCACGGTGATGTTTAGTGAACAGGAACCGTTTTGTGAACTTTGCGTCTTCTAGAAACTGTAGCGCACATTAAAAACACTTAAAGGGATAATGTTTTAAAGTAGGGTCACGTGAGTTACTTATTGTATTGTATTAGCAACGGTAGCTAACAGACCAGAACGGAGGCCCGGCTCTGCACTCTGATTTTCTTTATAAATGTATCATCGTAACTTTAGTCGAATCCCCGATTGAGAACATTTTCACTGCTTTATCTTCCCTTCACACCGCTCTATGCGGGGGGACGGGGACGCTTCCCACAACACCAGACTCCATTGACAAAAACGGTCCTTTTACCTTCTCTTTGTAAGCAGACTATGGGGTGTTCAGGATCAAAGGGTGGCCAGGAAGAAGCAGTGCAGACGGGAAGAAGAGGAGACCGGCATGCTCGAATAAAAGCTGCGCTCTGGATAAACCGAGGAGAAGCCGACGCCGGACCGCGGCGGCAAAGCACAGGCAGCGAGCGACCTGAAGCAACCTGCAGCCTCTTTAGCTGACTACACACGTCTTTGAATCTGACTGGGCTGCACTTGCACCTGCAGGAGGAAAGAAAGAAAAAAGAAAAGAAAGGAAGGCAAAACGATTAAAAATGCATTTAATTGTTGTTCTTTTTTTACACCTCTATGTTTGTATTTGCATATTTAGGCCCTGTGGAACTGAGACCCCCCCCTACCTTGTCTGGCCCCTGCAGCAACCTCCTCCTTGGCTTTCTTCGCTTCCTCGATGGCGGCCATTTTGGCCTCGTGCACCTCCTTCAGGGCGTTCCACTCCTTCCTGTTGTTCATCAGGCGGTCCAGCATGGGGGTGATCTCCACGTGGAAACGACTGAACTCCTGCCGACCAATCAAATCACGCCCCAATTTAACACAACCGGACATTTATCAGATGTCGCGGGAAATATAACACAAATCAAATTTTTATGTTGATCCAGGAGCCGCTAAATGAGAGATGACATGCTACACAAAGTTACACGGCCAACAACGTCCACATCGTCTGAAGGACATCGACTGCTTGACTCTGCAGGGAATGCGATGTGGCGTCTGACCTTGTACACAAAGGCGCAGACGAAGTCGATGAAGCCGCACTGCATCTTTGGCAGTTCATCTGCTTTGGTTCTGTCCATCATGGGCTGAAGGAGAGAGAGAGAGAGAGAGTGGGGCGTTTCACCGACGTGCTCATCAACCCCTCTGCCAGTAACTCACATCTCATGCAAGCCGTGCTATCGCTCTAAAAACAGCACCGGTCCCCGAGCTCGTTGAAGCTGACCTCTGACCTCTTTCATCGGCTACAGCTCCCTCACAAAGAGGAACTGTTTGCAAAGAAGAAATGTGTCCAGTCCAAGAGGGTCACTTTCTTTGTTTTCTATAAACTGGGGTGGGAGGTGGGGGGGGAGGGGGCGCTCCATGTGTAGACCCCTCAGAGTGCAATTAAGAGGTTGAGTGTAGGAAGGCACGTCAGGTTCACATCTGCAGCCACATCCCAAGAAGAGGCGAGTGTGGGCAGCGCGGCCGACTGTGACAACCCGTCACCAAGTTCACGCCGGCTGCCATCGCTGGCGAAGATTTGCCTCCTACATTTCTTTTTTTTCACTTCCTTTTCTTTCTCACAGCGAGTCGTGACACAAACGTCCGATATGCTGGAAAACGTTTGGCGGCTTTCTGCAGAGGTGAACTGATTCGAGTTAAAAGGTATGAATGTCGCTTAGTTGATGAGAGCCGGTGATCAGGCTCAGCTTGTATCTGTGTCCAGATTCTGAGAAAAATTAATCTCACATGTAATTTAGGCAGAACAACAATATTGTGCTGTGAAATGACTGCATTTACAAGAGCTCATGGGACTCGACTCCTGCCTTCTACGGATAATCCCTACGTGCTTCATTAAGTCTCAAAAGGAAATCCTCTTTATAGAGGTCAGAGGTCAACTATCAATAAACGTGCGGATGAAATAATACATCTATCCCTCCAAACCGTTAGAGCGCTCTGTGTGTCCTTACAATTGGGACCTGCTCCAGGACCGTCCTCTCCAGGTCTCCCTGCTCCCAGAACTCTGCAGCGACAGACAGCGCCACCTGCAGGACCAACCGGGAAGGACGTAGCAAGCACAACAGTTCTCTGGTGTAGTGATTTCCCATTAGTGATAAATCAAGCAGGGCGACTGTTCATAATGTGGTGGAATGCTCCTTTAAGACACCGGCCCTTCGTATATAATCATTGTCATCATTATAGTGAGGGACAAATCCTCATAAAAGGTACATGTTGTTATTGTCATAACTCTTCCACAATGCCCCGTAAACGAGAATCTTATTCAGAAGGCAGTTTCCGACATCTCCTGCCTTCACAAAACTTAAATGGAGCAACGTTAGGATCCGATGAATAATGCGTGAATTCTC